TCATGTTTACTATTTGGAGACATATGAAATAGATAAAATAAGGGCTTGTACAGTGATTTGCTATAAAAGATAGCATAGAAAGTGATCTGAACTGGTTCAAGTGTTTGAATCTATCCCAAGTTTAGCAACAGTTCCATGTCAGTGGGTAAGTCATAATTGGCCCATGTGTTTAACATCTACAACATTGACTGATACACAGTGGGAACCATTTGTTGAAGGAATGAATGGCTTATTCCTTTCATTACTTGATTGGCATTCACTAGCTTCTAACCTACCTGAGGAACAGAGGAAGTCAATTCCTAGGGCAATTGTTAGATCACTTTTTAAAACTTTCATTACAAATTCCACGCCGTTGGAGATGAAGGCATAAACAGTAATAGGAAAGATCATAAACTGGTGGAAAGAACGCCTCTTGTGAGGGAAGACAGCTCTGAGAATGAAGTTGAGTATTTTCAGGGGAGATAGAAATGTTTTATTCAGATATTCAAGCAACTCTTCAGAATTGGAGCAGTACTTCAAATTATGACCTTCCATTGAAAAATACTGCTTTCACATGAATGTTTACAGAATGTATTTGGGACTTTTTTTTTTAAACTCAGAAATAACATCCTATAAACTACAAAGAAATGTAAAACTAGTGAAAAATGCAGTCATATCAAATAACACCGACTCCTACAAAACATCAAAATCCTTTCATGGAAAGTAAATTTCTTATAATGTATTGCTGAACTGCTTAATTTATTTGGTACCAGTAGCCACATGTGGCCACAGAGACCTGCAGAGCATTTAACAATTTGGAAAAACCGATCATTAGGCCACGGATGGGGGAGTTCTATGAAGCCTTATTTGTAGCCATATTCTCATCTTGGGCTATATCCAGATGAGACACTATCATACTTCACACAGACTTCTCTACAAGATCATTATCAATTAGAAAATACAAAGCTAGAAATATTTTACTCCAGTTTGTATTTTTGTTGTTTTCCATGACATAATTTGACCAAGACTTGGATCACAGATTCAATTTATTGCATCTTCCTAAATGTTATTAATCGTATCCTCTAAAGGCAATAGATTGATGACCTAAAAGGGTTTAAATAAATTTCTTTTTTATAAACTGTGATAAGTATTTATGAAAAACTATTTGAATGCAAAAGCCATTCATTTAAAATTGAGAAGTTTTTCTTTCTTTCTCCCCATTTCCTCCTTCCTTTTGTTCTCTTCCTTCTTCTCTCTGTTTCCTCTCGCTCTCTTCTGACAAGCTGTGTCCAAGCTTCCAAACTCTACTGTCTAAACTCTTGTCCTGCATTCACCAAGAGGTGAGCAGATCATAAAATATCATTGTTTCCATCAAATCAGAACTGTCAGCACATGTGCAAGCAATAAAAAGAAGTTGCAAGAGAACATTTATCTTAGGAATGTTATTGTGGGCACCAAACAGGGAAGAAATTATTTCTGAGTTTAAAAATAGTCAACACAACTTGAAAAACATGGTAATATTTATTCATAATAATAAACACGTTTTTAATGAAAGTCATAAATGTCCAAACACAAACTGAATCATGACAACCCAATGGCCTTTTTTGCAAAAACTATAACGGTATGTCCCATTAATTTGCTAAATGATATGTGTGCAAAGAAAAAAAATGAATCAGAAACACTAAAACCCTTTTAAACACACCATCTAGCATAGATATAAACTCCACTTCCTTTGTTTTACCTTTTTCTGCTGAGTTATTGTTACTGTGCCTTTAGAACTTTTAAAAAAAGTCTTAATTGTTATCATTCATTTCAACACAAAACTGCTAGCACTTTGACTTGACTTTTCAAAGAGGACTCTATTCTGTCACCTTGTACATATGTAGGGAGATATACAATGTCATCTATACATACATGGGTCTGAAAGGGTCATCATAAACAGCCTATAAACCAAATAGTGTATATGTAAATATACCATCCAGTGTATATAATGGCTGGCTAGAAGAGATTATATACCTATCTAATTTATGCTTGTCCCTAACAACTTCAGACTTCTTTTAAATTAAACCATTTAAAATATTTTAAATTAAACTTACTTATTTGTAAAAATTGTAAGGTTTTTTAGAGCTTTAAGTTTCCATTCTTAAGTACCATCAGATCAGATGCCTAAACAATTGTCACTTTCAAAAATTCACCTCATTCTTTCCCAGGAGTCATTTGGACTCATTTTTTATCATATGAAAATCAGATTAAGTACAATAATTTCTAAATAAAATTTTCTTATTGCCAATGTATGGCATAGTCACCCTATTGCACCTTTTAAATTGAATTATCAGAATCTGAAAACTTAAAAAAAGATAGTGAGCTTTATAAATAAAATTCTGGGAGAAAAAAGGCACTTAAGCCCCACACATGGTTATTCCAGTCTGTATTCTCCACAATCATTACCAAATGAAATTGATGTCTGGCCCGCATACAAATACGGAAAACTGCCAGAATAAAATCAAATCAGAATGCTTATGAAAAAGAACGAAGTTGGGCACCAAATATTTCACTCAGTAGGAAACTTCTTTAGAGACTTCTGATGAAAATCTGAAGCGTATGTTGTTATATCAAGAGCAAGAAAGGTATAAGGGTACTGGAGAAATTCCCTTAGCTTATTGACTAAAAAGCCAAAACAATTGTCGTAACAGTAGAACTTGACAAGATAATTAAATGAATGATAACAAAATCTCAGCAGGGAAGTTCCCATTAATTGAATTTATTTGGGAGCATGTTTTCACAAGTATAACCAAATTATCTAATTTCCACTCACATTAAAAAGTGATAGTCTGTAACAACTAATTGCTGGAAACGAAGGAAAAGGCCAGTACTTTGAACCAATAACACGGAAGAAAATAAAATTGCGAACATCAAAGGACTGCCATGATATCTGACAGCTTCTTAAGAGTTTCATTCATCATTTTGTCCTGTGAAAGTATTTCAGTGAAACTCGCCAGAGAAAAGAATCCCAGTAATTTCTATGTAGTTTTGTCTTTAAAGCTGGAACAAACACATTTCCCACATTCTTTGCATCCTTTCTTGATGTGAATATTTGTATCCCTATGAGTGGGCCAACAGGTGAAATGATTGTTGTTAAAGAATACGCTGTTGATATAATGATTGAGTTTTGGCATTTCATTTACGTAGAAAATTAGTGCCATCCTATTTTTCTCCTTAATATTATTTATGGCTGATAGCTTTACAAATAAATTGTTGCTGTTTTCATGCTCAGATAGAGAAGTCTGAATTAAAACATGATTCGGGTTAACTTTTAAATATAAAATGAGGAATTTAATAATCTGTACTCAGATTTTCTGCTTTGAGCTGCCAGCAAGATGTCTCCAATTTAAATATTTTTAATGGTTCAGGAAACTATTTTCCAATTTGCGTAAAAGTTAATAATGAACTTTGTTATATATCTGTGGTAGTCAACTATGTTCAATAGCAATTTAAACCTGTGAACTCTGTCATTATTTACTTCTAACTCCATACTCTGAAACAACATGAATCTGTTGATAAACATTTGGCAAAAATTTTATATAACAGCAAAACAATAAAAGCTCACTTGGCATGATGTTTGAATAAATTCTAAGCAGCCTTGTCAATTTTTAAATCGGAGGCAGGAAAAACTGAATTAATAAATAATGCCCAAAACATTCTTTTAATTTTGTTACTTACTTTTCCCCCAAAGAAAGTTATCATCTAAATAAATATGTTTTAAACATATTGGTTAAAATTGAATAGTAATATTTAAAATTTTTCTTGCATTTAAAAACTATGTTTCAGCTTTAAAAACAGTTCTTAATGTTCTCTATAACATGGGACATCATTTTACAGTCAGAAAACTAGAGGCTGTAATTATAAAACTAGCAACTAACACTCATTCACAATGACTTTATCACATGACTTGAAAATAGCTGTAAAACCTAGGCTGCTTTATCTTCCACAAAGTTGCTACTACTTCAATTTAGGTACAAGGATAGGGCTATGCGCTTTTTTCTCTAAATCACGTTCCAAATTTTAAAAAAGTGGATGTCAGTTATGCTATAGGTAGGTAGATTAATAGATAGATAAATGTAGAGAAATAGATGGGTAGATAGTTATAAATATGGCCATCAATAAAACAAAATGTTTGCTTTAGCTGAGTGAAGTAATACATACAAAAGTATTCATTCATATCATATTTTGTTTTCAATTCTATTTCTGTTTTTACCTTTTGTTTAATCAATATAGTAAAAGACAATGTTCTGATTAAACAATATTTCAGATGCTAAACAATTCTTTTTATTGGTTTACACTGGCAGTTCACAGTCTAAATGCATAACCACATCAGGCAAAAATTGCATGTAGACCACTCTGGATTTTGAAGACTTTTCACTACTAAGAGAGGGTTTTTGGTGTGTTTGATTTTGCTTTGTTTTGTTAATTATGGAGCAATGTCTACCTTTTACTGATGGTTAATAATTGGGAGGGGGAACTATAATCAATTTCTTGAAATATATTATCTTTTAGTGTCCATTTAATGTCTTGCTCAGTACTTTTACAATTTCTTAGAAAAATAACTTTGTCCATTACTTTATGTTTGTTTAATTATCCTTGTATTATCATCCTAGTTGTTTGTATTCCATTAAATATTACAAATTTATTTTCAATAGACTTTTTCTTTGATGATCAGAATTGGAACCTGTGTTTCTAGTTGAAAACAATTGGCACTTTACAACACCTTCACATAAGAGGTACTCAAAAACACAAGGCTAATATTTTTCATGAGTCCCTGGAGCTTATAAATTTATAATGTTAAAGTTTCATGAGTGTTATCTTAGATAAGACTTGCCTGTAAATACACGGTTATATTTTCTGTAGAAGTTCCCTATATGTCTTCAAAAACCCGACTGGTCTAGTCTAGAAAAATGACTCTGAGACAGTCATGTTTCTTTCTTTTTCTTTTTTTCAAAAAAAAAAAGAGACAAACAGCAATAAACATTTTAGCTCTTTAATGAGCAAAGATAGTGTTTCTTAGCATTGGACTAATAGTCATTATCCAGGTTATCTTTATTTCACGCAATGACCAGTGACATGGCCAAGATGTACAAAGTTGTTTCCATCAAGTAGTATACAATGTTTTTTTGTATAATAAGCTTTCATTCTTGAAAAAGAGTAACTGAAAAGAAAGGTTTCTGTTACTGCAGTTAGTTTGTCAGAGAAAGTTCTTTGCATTATCTTATAAACTATCAAAATTGCTAGTCATCTGAAAAAATGTAAAAAAAAATCACATAACTTTAGTCTAATAGAAATATAGTACAGATAAGAGAGAAAGTATCAGGATGTGCTCTTTAAGTCCATCTCATTTTTTTTAAATATAAATGTACATCTGATTACATATACAAACATTTGGAAAGGTCTGTGATACACTGTTACTGGTAAACAACAGGGGATGAAGAGTTTCCTGTGTTCTTAGAATATTTGTTTAAAATCACACATACGTGTAAGACTAAAATCCTCCAGATGTTGACTTGCCTAGGTTCTGTATCTACGTTGTACTCTACTGAGATTGCATGAGTAAATTCCAGCGAATGAACCTCGGTGAGAAAGGTAAGTCATGTGAAGTGGGACATAACTTTATGCTGAATTATTATCGTAAATATTTTATCATGCAACATGAGTAAATCAATTAGCTGAGAACTGTAATCAGAGTGGCAATATTGGGGCATTCTCATATCATAAAAGACTGTTGCAAGTAACTCTTTGGACACACTTCACCTTATCAAAAGGAACAAAATACAGAGTAACAAAAAACACAGTAAATTATAGATTCTGTAAGACATGTCCAATTAGGGGTATACTTCTATAAATTATTTAGATGGGAATGAAAAGAACATTAAAAACAGGAAATTTTTTTCTGGGATTCATATCAGCGAGTATTCACCACTATGCCTACAGTTTCTTCGAATACCTTTTATAACTAATTCCTTCTATATTGAAGCTACTGTGAATTATTTTATTGTAATTACTTTTGCCTCTTAAGATCTTCTTTAGGTTCTGCCAATCGGTGGAGGAAACTTCTATTAAAGACTCCAATGGGATGAGAAGAATTTTAATTACGGCTTAATCAGCAGCACAGCCACCAAGCATATAAATTATCATGCACATCGTGCTAAAAATATCCAGTTTCCTTTATCCCCACAACTTTATACTGACAGCACTTATGTGACAATGTTGTACCTGCCAGTCTTTAAACTTCTTTGTGTTACTGGCAAATTTCAGCATGAGCCTCTGCTAAGGCCATTAACAGCACTGGTGCTTTGTGTACTTATCCAAATATGTAAATATGGTCTACACAATAAAACGGCTCCAAATAAAAACTGGTGAAAATTATCTGACATTCCATTGGTGTGTCCCTTGTGCATATTCATAGTTGTTTTTTAAATTTTTATTTTTTATATTTGAGACATGGTTCTTTCCTGTTTGGTGTTCCACATGCCTAATTCCATTCTGTAACTTAAATCTTCAAAAAATTAATTCTTGAATGTGAATGAAAAAGTATCATTGAGAACAACTGCTTCAAGCAATTGAAATTTGTTTTTTAAAGTTGATCTGTATATATATATACATATATATATATACAATTCATTTTTTTCAAAACCCCCAAAGTTCTTGATATGTATATTCACATAATACTCCTCCTTATTTAAATAGTAAGAGTCTTGTAGGTTGAAAGCCAAGGAATCTTCAGTAATGTTTTACTGCAGTCCATCAAAAAAATAGTTTGTTTCTCTTATCTGGCTATACCCTGGTTGTTGAATGTGAATGGGGATGGGGGTGGGGATGTGGCAGAGTATTGTTCTGTCCTCCAGTAAATGTATTGAATGTGTGTAAGGGCTGAATCCCTGGTATAGTGTTGGGAATCATTGTAATGGTGTTGGGTGTCATTAAGGGAACATCATCAGGTGACCTCCTCATAGCTAGTGTGTAATCTGGGGGGCAGGCGGTCCGAAGAACCACCTCATGTGGATGGATGGACTCACATTCATGATCCAAATCAGTGTGCTTCATTTGGAGGGACATGATTTCCTCTTCTTGTGCATGGGTTAGATCATTGGTCGTGGTGCGCTGAGGGCTGCATCTTCTGTGAACATCATGTCTCCTCTTATCTTTTTTGTAGTACAGGGCTGCAAAGGCCAGGATGTTTAGAAATAGCAGTGACGCTCCGACTGCAATAGTGACGCTCAGCTCTGTTGAGTAGTCCCTCTGATCCACTGAAAATGGACTTGGTTGTTGTTTGGGATCATCCTGCTTGGCAGTGGGAAAGGCTGATGTGACAGGTACAGAATTTTTTCTGGTAGGTCTGAAAGTGATGTCAGTTGATGGCACTTTAGTTGTCGTCGAGGTATACTGAGAAATGTCATTGAGATTATGCAGATGAGGTACCAGCTCCAACCAGAGGTTCACTTTATTGGCTCTGTAATGTTCTTTAACTCTTGGCTTTAAACCAATATGGAGATAAAGTTGGTCTTTCTGAGAATATCTGGTCCACGCTACTTCTTCAAAGCGATTGGGTTTGGTATGGATGAATTTTGTGTCTTGAGGGACTGGTTGATTTGGATCACTAGGAAAGGAAAAAGAAAATTATGAAAACAAAATTATTTTCTTTTTCATAATTGAAATCATACTACTTTAACATCCAAATGAAGAGTTGACTCAGGAAAGCTTTAGATTTGGGTCAATTTAGAAGTAGAAATCTCATAATAGATAGTTAAATGAGTAATAATGCAATTCAAGTAAATCTCACATTCTTATTCTCCTTGGCCATCTAGAGGTGGGCTACTGTCTATCAAAGATTTTTTTTTTTTGAGTTGGAATCTCACTCTGTCACCCAGATTGGAGTGCAGTGGCCGCTCCTGGCCACTGCAGCCTCGACCTGCTGGGCTCCGGCAAACCTTCCGCCTCAGCCTTCCGAGTAGCCGGAATTACAGGCAGGCGCTACCATGCCCGGCTAATTTTCAATTTATTGTAGAGATGAGGTCTCGCCAAGTTACCCAGGTGGGTCCAACCCGCAGGCTGAGGCAATCCACTCACCTCAGCCTCCCAAAGGGCGGGATTACAGGCTGAGCCACCGAGCCCGGCTAGATTTTTTGAAACGTATCTAAATATTCATATACATATGAGTTATCTCATAGACAAACTAGCAGAGATGGAATGAAATAGTGAAAGGATTTGGGATCTGGAATTGGCAGATGAAGATCTGAGTCCTGGTTCTCCTACATACCAGACATATGAACATCTATATGAAGCTCTCAGAGCCTCAGGTCTTTTCTTTGTAAAATGGGATTAACAGTACCTAACCAGCCCATCCCACAAAGTAGTGGGAAGGATTTAAGAAATTACAGTATTGCAGGTTAGAAAGCACTATAAGATAATATTTGTTACCATTGAACAATAATAATAAGTTCTGTGTAATTAAAAAACCAAGAGCCTATGTAATTATTGAGCAATGCAGTTGAAATATGTCTTTTCTTCAAAAACTTTTACAAAACAAGAAACAATAAAATAATGTCTTTTTTTGGGCTGTGCTTTTGTTTTTGTTTTTAGAGACAGGGGTCTCATTATGCTATCCAGGCTGGTGTCAAACTCCTGGCCTCAAGTGATCTTCCTGCCTCAGCCTCCAAAGAGCTGGAATTACAGGCATTATCCACTGTGCCCAGTCAGCAATGATTTTTAAAAACGCCATAATATAGAAATAATTTTGAATAAAGAAACTCAATATATTGCTGGTATTAGTCTATTATGTTATTTGGGCACAAAACATGTATTATTTTTAAATGCGTACAAAGATATTTGTATTAAAATGAGGGCAAATTTCATTCCATAGGTACATACCCAGTTTTAGCAAAATTTGTCCAGTATGTCATGACAACTGCACTCAGCATCACATCATTTTTGGAGAAATTGCAAGGAAATAACTCTGTAGGGCCAATCATGGGAATCCCCAGCACATAGGGAACCTCGTCTCCATGGGCTGCATCAGCCCAAGCTGGAACCTGATCTGTTTGGCAATGATGATAAAAGGCATAGAAGTATGTAGGTGAACCAAAGTTTGAGTGAAGATCTGCTGTAGCTACAGCTGGTGCCACCCACTGATGGTCTGTAAACAAAGCCAATAGTGTCTTCCTTCTGGTCTCAGGGTTATGACGGTCAGCCCAGTCAGTATACATGAATTTAATGGTTTCTCTCAAAACGTCTTTGCCTTCAGGATAGCCATATAAATTATCAACAAAATTGGAAACAGCAAAGTCAAAATCACTAGCAGATATACCATCATCACTATCTACTATATTTTCAACAAATTTTAGCCCTTCCCCTTGGTTCACTCCTAACATTATATCATAGTTGAGAAACTCTCCTTGCTCCATCAATATTTGAGGGTCATCTGGTATTACATCACCATCAATCACAGGTCCAAAGGCTATGTGGTACCGAGCTGGTTGAATATCTTGGTCAACAAGTTCTTTGTAAGGCTTCTTCTGCAGGCATTCCACTAACTCTACTGTATCTGAAACATTGCAACCAACTTTTGTCGCCAACATTCTAGCATATTTTGCAGGTTGGAAACTAACAGCCCAGCTGGAAAGGGCTGTTCCACTTTGAGCTATTGCTCGTTGAAAGAGTCCTATGGGAAAATCAACAAAGAGTTTCAGATGACCTTTGAATAATGTTGTAAAACAGTAATATATGATGTTTTAGACATGTATATAAAAACCCAGATACAAGTCAAGAAACAGGGAGATAGAGACATTTTTGCTTAAGAGAAGTACACAAAATCATCCCCAGGGTATAACGAATCAGAGAGGTGATTCTAAGTCTTGTGCTTTGAGTAACACCTACTTTAGTGAGCACGTGGTCTAAAGTGTGTAGGGTCCCAGAGAGGCAGTGAGCAAGAGGAAAGGGAGAAGATGTATTCACTAGTGGTAAAAAGCCCCAATATTTTCTTCAGTGAGCATATAAACACTTACATTATCATCAGCGCTAACCAGATGGGGCCAACTCTCTCCCATTTAACTCTCTACCAGAGTCTACATTGTTCTTTTGGGATATTTCCTTCAATTTGGCTGCATCTGTCTTCTTTCAAAATGGTTCTGTATGTTTGTTTAAACCAGATTTAATTTGAAAAAGAATTGTTGAGAGCTCACACCCTTACTGGGGCTGGGGATTTGTTAATACCCTGGGGATGGCCCTGAAGGCACACAAAACAGAATATCACTTTAGACATACTCTTTCCAGATCTTCTTGTCAGACATACTATGCTGAATATTCATCTTTCAGAAGAAGACATAGCATTTGAAGTGTTTTCACTAGGTTAAAGAAAAAACCATCAGCAGAAGATTTTAGTGGGGGGTGATTTAACTGTTTCCATTTTTGAATGTGCACTGCTATATTTTATCATAAAAATGAAAAGTACATAGTCCACTGTTTTTTACTTAACTACATTTAAAGATTGTAAGTAATGGCCCATATGCAGTTTGATAAGAGCTGCATGCCATTCAAATTTACAAATCTACTTTATGTACTCATTAGGGTATTTTTCTAATAAAATTATTGCTGTAAAACATAATTTATCTATTTAAAATGTACATGTATTATCAATCTTGAAATACAGCTCTGTAGTTCAGTTATTTAAACATATGGTCAAATACTCATATATGTTAATGAGAAAAGAATTCTTTTCACAAAGGTGCTGAAGCAGTTTCTGAATTAGAAGTTTTAAATTTTTCACCAAACAAATGTCTGTAACATGTTCCTAGGTAATTCTAAAGATACTTAAAAAGTCAATCAATACTAATTTAAATTTCTTTTAGTTTACTGACATCTTTATGAACATATTTTTAGTTTACTAGAGCAAAATATCGCTAAAATAAATGATACAGATAATTTAAAATTACGTAGCTGTTTGTCAACATTTGTTCAATATTTTACTATTTAAAAATTTTACAACTAAAATAAACCCAGTGATTTTTATAATATTGCTTCCCATTTCAGGGGCTCAATGCCATTGAATATACCAAAAACAGATTTAGGGGAAATTCAAATCATGTTTCATATTGCCTGAAATGTGTCAACTAAATGATATTAAGAAAACCATATATTTTATCATTAGTGAGAGAGCTTGTTATGTGAATGCAAGATGGGGTTGAATCATGGTAGATGCAGGCCTGAACATCAGTGTAATCTTTTGGGGAGTTTACAGCCTTTAAAGCTTGTGTCTGCATTGGAGGAAGAATCAGCTTGATGATTTCAAGAGATCTTTTGAGGATCTCCTGGTCAAATCAGGCAACTCAGTCTGGAGATGGGTTTAGGACTAGACCAAATCCAAGACCGTATCATCGGTCAGGTGTAGACAGATTTCCTTGAAGGGTGTGATGGAATGCTATGTGTTCAACAGTTTGCATAACCATAATCACTGTCAACCAATAATAAATAGCAATGTTAGCCAATGAACTGAACAGATTTGTCTCTTTAACCTAAGCCCATTTGATATTGATTGAAACTGGCTTTGGTGCCCATTTTTTATCAAATTACTGACACGTTTATACAGGTTGCCTATCACCCTAGCTAAATGTTAGCATTAGTATAGTACTCAGGTTAGAACAATGTAATCTATTTGATTAAAAAAATAATAATAAACCACACAGTTTGTTATTTCAAATTAAGCCATTTCCTTACAGACCAAAATCTTTTTCAGAAATGTTCTCATCTTGTTATTTTGTCATCTCAAGTAGGAATCCTACTAATATAAATAAAGTATTATTTAATATAAACTATATTAATAAATTAATATGATTCTCTAAATATACATTCATTTAATGACTAGATGTTCTTTTAAAATTCCACATTAATTCATTTTTATACCAAAAACAAGTATCCTATTTCTGGTGCTTATATCATAAAACTTAGCCTCTAATTAAGATGCTTCATGAATTACACCTGACAGTGTATACGTTCTTCATATATATATGTATATATAGTAATAATAAAAAAGGCAGAAAATAAGTTGGTCTATGCTGATGTATATTCTCTACTTTCCTCTCTATTATGTATAAATAATGGAGAGAAAGTATTTGCTTTGCAGACTTTTCCAACAAAACTCTTCTGTTCTTCTGGGTATTGCGAATTAATAATGCAGTTTGAATGAGTGATTAAACGCATGGTACATGGAGATGGAGTCCATAAAGAACAGCATGATGAGCCTTGGACAGGCACTTGGAAAAAGAATGTCAAAGCCAGAAAATAGAAATAAGAAAAATACTTCATGAATTTAAGCAGCGTTAATACTCCATGCTGCTTTGCCAAGTTTAGAGGAAAAATAACACTTTTGGAGTTAAAAATAGAAAAAACCCAAAATCAAATGTATTTTTTTAATCAAAAACTCTACTAGTGACCTTGATGCTTTGACAATTTTGGATCATGCATGCAAAATAATCAAATATCCATTCTCTACTCAGACAACAAGTGAAATCACATGTTTCCAGACAAACTAGCTTATGACTGCTTCACTAGCTTCTTACTTATAAAGGACTTAAAATGTCTATTGTCTTGAAAATAGATTGTATATAATCCCTGCATTCAAAAAAATCTCATCTTTGATTTTGATTACTGAATAAACAGAGATGACAGCACTGTGAATGTCTTTGTCTGATTTTCCTCAAAATCACCCTTTGAAGGCAAGAAAAGTAACTGGAATGCTAACTATTCTAAAGTGTGCTTGAAAAGGCATCCTTACCAAGCTCCACATGAGACAAAGAAAAGAGTTTGACAGAAATTTAAACATGCAAAGAAAACTGAAGAAACATAGCTTTAAACAGTTATTGAGTTCAACCTAACAGTTTGAACAGCGAAATATATACAGAGCATCACATTCTACTGATGGTGGTGGCATGCAGACACCAAAATTGTCAAAATTTGCAACCTGCATAATACCTTTGGTTGAATTGCTCCAACGGTTACCTTCAGAATAATGGGATAAAGTCAGCAGATTGACACATGAACCCCCAGCACCAGATCCAAAAACAGTGATTCTTAAGGGGTCACCACCAAAGAATCCAATGTTTTCACTAGTCCATCTTAAAGCCTGTATGAGATCAAGGAGTCCATAGTTCCCTTTTGCAGCCTGATCTCCTGTACTCAAGAAACCTGAAAAACAGAAATAAAAAAACATCTTTTGAGTTGACATAGAAGAAATAGACATCAAATATAAATATAGATGAAGGCCTGTGCTAATCAGGTGAGTACAATCTAAGTTCATTAGTAAGAATTACTTCCCATCAGAATAACATAATTCACTTTAAGATGAATAATAGTGACTGCAATCTAAAAAAATGGCATTTATCTTCTCCAAATGCTTCCCAAGTTATCCAGGTAACGGCCAGATAAAGGGAATGAAAATGTAAAAGACCTCAAGGGAGACATTCCAGAGGCCAGGTCACTTGGTGGAGATATATGGATAGCATCATGAAACTTACAAGAATGGGTATTTTGCAGAAAACATCGAGTCTGTCCTCTTATTGCTCATGGTGTAACATAGCTGGAATTTAAGGTAAATATAACAGTGGCAGAATGAAAATATGTAGAGAGAGGTATTTTTCTAAGATTTGTGGAGAAAGGTTTCACAACCCACACAATTATATACAACTCTTTGCATATACACATTTTTGTCAATGATTACCCACACGTAAGAAAAAATTACTGTGCCAGAGGTAATTGAGACCACATTTTGGAATATTTTAAATGCCAGACTGAGGGGAGTTGCTTAATTAGCAGTGTAGAATAATTGAAGGTTTTAGAAAAGTTCAGACACATATCATTTCTGAAATGTTCAAAGTACTACTTTATAGTGAATCTGATAATGAGGAGAAATATGTGTTGTAATAGAGACAATGGAGGTAGGGAAGAGATTATAAATAAGAATCTGAACTGACAGAATGGCAAAGAACTGAAAAAAGGAAATGAATAGAAAAAAAAATTGTGGCAGTAAGAACTGAGTGGTTTTTTATATGTGGAAGTTTTGGAGGAAAGAGTCAAAGATGTTACATTAGCAATACCTTAAACATATTCATTCATTTAGCTGACTGACTAGCTTTTTTAATGTGTTTATTATAACTTGTGAAACAAACATCTTTATTGCATTTCTGCATTTGGTATAAATGGAAAAGTAGAAAAGGTTTCATAAACTACTCCATCTTAAGAATTCATATTTTATTTAGAATATAGTTAGTCATATAAGATATAAATTGATTAATTAAACTCAGCGATATAATTTCTAATTTCAACAAGTTTATAGAATTACTAAAGAAAAAATAGTTCTCGTATTGCAGATCCATGATAGAAACTTAACATAATGGGTTAATATTTGTGATAAAAATATTTCATTAATTTGAAATACACCTCTTTATTTTATAAAATAAGCTAGAAAGTAACTTGCATTTGTGAAACCCAAACAATGATAATACTAGCTATCAGTTAAGTAAATTTGTAAACAAGATGAAAGTGTGGACAAGAAATTCTTTAGGATCACTGTAGAAAATAATAGATGAAGCAAAATCCTCCTGAGCAATTTCAAAAAATTTGAAGAAATAAAAGCACTTAGTCCTTCTTTACCCACAAAATCAAAAATTGTAAGAAACAAAAATACAATCCCTAGTTCATTTTTTTGGTGTATAATCCTGGAACTATTAATTATCCTTGAAACTGAAGTTAAATTTTAAAAAATACATTTCAAATAAACAGATCTTTCTAGTCACTGGTCATACCTATTGCCTTTTATTGATTTTGTAGAATAATTTAAGAAAATGTTCATGTTATCTTCTTTCATAGAAGCATTTTCTGATACTTGATATTTATATAAATTAGAGCACAATAAAATAGAAAACAAAGCATGGCAGGGAACTTTTTTTTTTTAAAAGCAGGATTTATTGAGAGGACAGAGGACAGAAAAGTTCCCACAGTGGGAGGGGACCTGAAGGGGTTTTCCTGGCAGGGAACTTTTAAAACTTTTTGTTTATTACACACATTTTGGTATAAGAGAATTATTAGTTTAAATTCCTGAAGGATTCTCTTACAAATGTTTTGATCTACAAGGACAGACTGCTGACATGAACCCTGGAAATGACTTTATGAAAGGATTATTTTAGAGAGAAAAACACTTGAAGGATAAAGGATGTGTGTGTGTGTGTGTGTGTGTGTGTGTGTGTGTGTGTGTGTGTGTATGTGTGTGTGTATGTGAGAGAGAGAGAGAGAGAGAGAGAGAGGGAGATGGAGAGGGAGAGGGAGAGGGTGAATGAGAATAAAAACAAAATACTCTAGGTGGTTTATTACCTACAATTCTATAACTCAAATATACTCATGCAATTTTGATTTCTGAATATAGCTTATGCTACTAAGTATAAAATGAGAATTTATGTGTAATTCCTCTTGAAATAATATTGAATAACTCTAGTTACATTCAAATGAATCTTAACCTCCATGTACAATTGACTTATAAAATAATCATCATTCAATGTGTAGCATGTTGAAAATAATAATAATAATAAGACAGTTATCTCTACATTAACTAAATAGTATCCCCTCTATAATTCCAGTTTTAGTTGCACTATTTTAACCACTCTGGTTGATTAGTCAAATAGTTTTTGTTGGTGTAATAATACTGTAAAAACATATCAAGTCTTTGAAGAGTTTTTACAAATTTCAAAAAAAAGTTTTAAGCAAAATCAATTCAATTACAAAACTGCTCTATTAAACCCTAGCATGGATGGCAGAATAAACTATCCGGTAAAAGTTGTATGTTCTAGGCTTGGAATAGCCAAGATTACTTGGTCAAGTTCCATTTTTACCCTTCCATACAGAATTTCCCTTACTCTTGATTATACTGTATTTCATGTGTATGCTGCTGTCTGTCTGCCTATCATCCATCTACCTCTCTCGCTATCATCGGTCTATCATTCATCCATGCGCATCTGTCTACCGTCCATCTATATCATCTATCTAAAACCAGTTGATTATTAGAGTAAATTTAGAGAGCCACTTTGAGTTATATACTGGGAAAAAGTAATAGCTGCTGTCTTTATTAAAGCTAGCCAACCAACAAAATTGCATCCCTTCAGACCTGATGGAGAGACACATGCTTGCATGAATTCTTTGATTCCTGATGCTGTATTCAAACAAAATTCTGTGGCTCAGCTAAAGGCACAAAATGAGGAAAGCTAAATAAATTGCTGCCTCAAAAGAGACACAGTTTGCTAATTATACAAGTGATGTGCATTGGCATCATTCTTTACACCTTGGTATCTAGTGTAGTCATTTAAAGTTCTTTTTTTAATTGACTTCGCTGTTACATCCTTAACCAGACCACTCTAGCAAGAACTTTACACTGAAGTGCTCAACTATAGTTCAGCTATGGGGAAACTCAATTCTGCAGTCGTAAAAGTGCTGCTGATTTCATGATTCCTTTGGAGAAGAAGGTTTTTCCTTTTAATGTCACTCAAATCATTCTTAACAGACAGTCACTAACTTTAACTGGCTTTTCTTGGCCTTCACTGTAAGCCCCTGGAATGTGTGACTAATTGTCTTAACACACTGACACATTATTATTTTTGTAAGATAGAACAATAACGACTATAAAAACAAATGTGTTTCCTTTTTCAAGGAAAAGAAACAGAATTCTCCAGAAAAAAAAAAATTCAACTATCTACTTTACTTGACTCATGAACATAAAACCTGAAAAATTTAATACTTTTAAACTTAGGGCTAACTCTCAAAATTCATAACTGCAATTATACTGAAAATTATTTCACTGGTTCAGGCATTCACTACATTCATCATCAACTGTTTGTTCAAATAGAATTTATTTAATATCATTCTTTCTACCTAAAAACTCAGTGTATCAAAGATATTTCCAATGGTCATTTTTACATGAAACTACTAGTTCTACTGATCTGATTAAATCTACTGAGTAGACTTAGCCTCAATTTGCTGTTGACCTGATTTGGCAACTAGAACTCATTTCAGGTGCTAGGGAGAAACCAGGCAATTGAACACAAGACCACAGGCCTTGGAAACGGAAAAATAAGACCAGGTCTAAAATAGATTAGGCAAGAGGAAAATACATAAAGACAGCCACCAACGTACTGGCCTGAGCCACTGATGCATATGAAACTCTGCTAGCTCTCTGATGGACACACCCTCAGTAGTATAAAGGAGCTAATTTAAGTTGTCAGGCAATAGTCCTGCAGCTTATTTCTTGGCCCAGTCTATATTGAGATCCTTAGCTCTCTTACACCGCAATCATATATGCAATATCTTTAGAAGAAAAAAGAAAAAAAGAATGCAATGTCAGAAATCTAAGATGTCAATGATTCTATACTGAAGATGTGCTTTTTTCATTTTTTTGAGGGAGCATATTTGAATGTCTATGTCTATAGTTAATTTCTGGAAACATTAAATAGAATATAATTTTTTTAGTCCACATTATGCAGTTCAGGCTATAAAGAGGTGGGAAAGAAATTTGCAGTGTTTATCAATGCCGTTGCCTGGATACAAGATGACTGTGGTTGGCTCTTTGAGTCAAATCGCTAAGTACTTCAAAATAGAGACCATACTGAGCATTAAAGAGCCAGCCTTGCAGACATGAGACTTTGAATGATAGTGAGGCATTCTTCCAAAGTCTTGGGAATATGGATCGGGAAAATAGCTCATTAAGGATTTTGCATCTTAAACATAAAAGGATTTAAAACTGTGAGATTAAAACTTCAAATTCTTCCAGCTAAAAACTCCAACTAGAAATTCCATGTGCTAATTTTCCTTATCTTTTCAGGCTTTTCAGTTCAGTCATTTCTTCCTCTGCAGTCTGTTTCTGTCTTCTGCTTTAAGACTCAGGTCACTGAATTATTCTACGTCCATCTCTTTTCTTCTTCAACCCTCGAAATCCTTCTAATTAGTCACTTAATACCCTAAACTTTCAGCAAACAAGTCTCTCTTCTCTGTCACCAGAACCCACTTTTTTTTTAAAGCAGGATTTATTGAGAGGACAGAAAAGCTCCCACAGAGGGAGGGGACCCAAAGGGGTTGCCCCAGAATCCACGTTTGAAAAATATTCTGTTAAAATGGGGGACACTGCTATATGCAAATAAAATCT